CAGCTTTGAAATGAATTAACCAGGACCAAGGTAACTCCGGTGATGATAAAACCATCATCAACATTTTGGGACAAATTGTTGCAGCCGAGGGCTCGGGGCCAGCTCAGAGCCACCCGTACGCAGGCTGGTGCCTCGCTCCCACTGATAAATGAGTGGCTGGGGAGGGTCAAGGCCACTTGCAGCAACCATAGTGACTGGAAGGCAAACACTTGAGGAATTCCTACAGCAAATATGGATTACGGGTAGAATCAGAGACGCCTCAGCCCAACAGGACACTAAGGTGCCGCTCAGAATATAAATCAGTGACTCAAAAAGCCAAGGGACTCGTGCATTGAGCTCTGAAAAGTCTTACGTGACCGTGCTGGCATTTATCAGCCACCAAAGGACCAAAGGACCTGAAAGAAAACAAAGGGCTTGTGTGGCACTTTGAACGGCTCTGCTATTTTGCAAGGTACAGACAGCTCTGGTGGCACAAACTGATGGGTAAGGACACTATTTCCCACTGGAAAATGACAAATCCCAAAGCGAGAACTCCATCAGGAAACGTCTGGGCTCGCTTGGCCTTGCAATTATTTTTTCTCTTTGCTTCTTGTTCATCTCAGGGCTGCCACTTTCTGGGCGTGTGTTGAAAGCTTAACTGACTCATAAATGTCAGTGCAAACTTTAACCTATAAAGCCAGGCATTAAAATTTCATGGCACTGGAGCTGCAGGCAGCAGGGTAGCGCAGTTGCGAAGGTGCGGAGCAGGGGCAGCGCTTGGGATCATCAGGGAGGAATTCAGCAGGGCTGGGAAACCTGTGATTTACACAGACACAAGACATGCCATTACACATCCTGGATGTGCCACCACCACTGCCTCGTCCCTGTTAAGTGTCTACATCTGATGAGGAAAAGACAGCACAACCTTGCACGCTGCCACTGCAGCTCCTCCTCCGGTTTCCCGGCCAGGCCGTTCCCAAAAGCTCTGCCAGCAACGTCTGAGGGCTGCTCCTCACCCCCCGTCTAGCTCCTGGTATTACTTAATATTTTTTTAACCATATTCGCAGCAGCACAGGATAAAGGACAGCCGAGCAGGCAGCAGGCTGGGCAGCAGAAGTGATGCTTTGAGTGCCCTGCAGGAGTGATGGATGCCACGCACCAGGGGTGCCACCGTCTTCGGAGCTGGGCACTGCTGGGCACCAGCTTATTTCTGGCTGTGCCTGTTTGAGGGCCAGGTGTGTGAGCTCTGCTCTGGCCTCCTGCCAAAGGCTCTGTCCTGCCCCTGTGCTCTGATTTACCCTGCTCCCACCCGTACTCACCCTGAGCCTCCAGAAGGGCTCCCCACCTCGTGCCCCCCAGCCCGCAGCACGGGGAGGTGTTGCACAGCATGCGCAGCCTTCAGCACGAGTGGCCAACGGGGTCACGCGCCAACTTCAGTCCTTCAAAAGCTAAGAAATTGCCCCAAATTCGGGAACAATAACAGGCACACTCCTGACACCGCAGCAACTCCGATGCAAAATTATTTAGACCTTTTTTTTTTTCTTTTTTTCCCCAAAGCAGAGCAGGAGGGTACTGCGGCTGCCAGGCTGCAGGCTCGGGGCTCTGCTTTGTTTCAGGCACGGCAAAAACAACATTCTTCAGCATCTCCCGCTTAGACATGGCTCAACAGTTTTTGCTGGAACTTTTTCTTTTTCTTTTTTTTTTTTTTTAAATTCACCCCGAGGTAAAAACCCATCATGAAATGGAAAATTTCAGCTCAAACGTATTTAAAATGTAGCAAAATTACAAGCAAATGGGAACGGATTTGAACTAGGGGGTGCTGGACAACTCTAACTAAACACAGCACCAGCAGCTCCACCTCCAAAGCATATTTTGACTCGCTACGTAATTAGCCACGATTCCACACACAGGAATTAAGTAAACCACTCCACACACGCTGTTTCCAAAAGCCCCAGCCATTCACTGGATGCGTCTTTCCACCCGCAGGGATCCAATTACAGAATCGGCACCCAAACTCTCTGGGACAACCAGAAGAGAAAGAAAAGGGCAAGCCAAGCCTTCGTTCTGACGGGCCTCACAAACTCATTTAATTCTTAACAGATGACTCTAAATGGCTTTATTGCAGGCTGTTGCCCTAATATTTATTTATCCCTTAAGTGTGCACCATTATCTCACTTGTAGTGAAGTCTGCGAGTTGATGCAAAGAGCTCGCCCCTTCAAAACAGCCTCCTCAGCCGGAAGGTAGCTCTGTCATACAAAGACATTGTACCTATATATAAAAAAACCACAGTAATGCGATGAGACTGACCTCCCTCTCCTCCTGGAAGACCCATAAACCTGTATATAAAGGCTACGGACAGGTGTTTTTAGAAGTACCACCCCCGTGTGTGGCTCGGATTCTTTTCCTGTGCCAGATGCACATTTAACAGAGCAACACGAACACTACAGCTTCCTAAAACGCTCTTTTAGTACCGTGGTAGTTTGTGGCAGCTTGTAAAGCACGATGAAGACCCAGCAATTCAGCGGTTACAACGCGTAGTGGGAAGCCTGAGGGTATCTCGTCTGCCACCACCCCCCTGCGATGAGTGACGTCCGTTCCTAGAGAGCCCTGCCAGGGGTTGTGTAGAGGAAAAGGGATGGGACGGCACACCGACTTTGTTAAGAGCACAGAAACCCACCTACGTACTGCAAAACATCAAGCTTTCCATCAGTTAAATGTAGGCTCGCATCCCGTCCACTTGTTTAAAGAGAAGAGCAGAAGCAATTCCCAGCAAACAGCACGCTGCTAGAAGGCTTCTCCCATCAGTCTACGGAAATAGCTCCCTAATTTCTCACCGTATCTCACCAATTTCTCCATGGACCTTTCCAGACAACGCCAAGGGAAAAGCTTGTTTTTCCAACGTGTGTTTTCCCAGCAGCTGGAACACCCCTCTTCAGTGCTTTGCTGTGCTATAATCCAAGAATGGGAGCCTCTAATAAAAAATAGCCATCGGAGGTGCCAGTGCCGTATACCGCAGTCTTGTAAGCCCAGTATTTTGCAAAATCCTATGTTCTTTGCATTTTTAAGGTAGGTTTAGCACGGTTGCTTACAGCCAGTCATAATCTGTTGCTTATAAACACAGCCCGAGTGTCTTACAACCGTGAATCCCATCCCCTCAATCAAATCACAAAACAGGTGGCGAACGACAAAGTCTACTTTAAAAAGTTATGTCTTCTGCACATTTACAGATTAGGAAAGAATATCTTTCGACCAAGGAAGAAAGAAAAAAAGCCCATATATCAGAGGAAAGTAATCTAAACTTCAATCACATCTAAAGCTCTGTCAGCAGGTTTGTCGTACGATCCTTTTGAATTTCTTGTACACTAAGCAAGTAGATCTGATAGTAAACATCAAACCAGGAAGGCAGCTTTTGAACATCCAGGCTCAGCTGACACAACTCTTTTAAGTTGAGTTCAAAGTAAATTTTGAAGATGAGATAGTGTACTACACCTGAGTGTTTATGACATTCAAAAGGAGAAATATGCAGCCCCATGCCGCAGCAGCACACTCTGGATGCCCCTTCCTAGCTCCTCGCCTTTGCTTTGCCCCAAAAAAATTCAGCTCCCCCCAAAAAAATCAGTGGGGCTGCACCCCCCACCCCAGGGATGCTGCACCACTAACATCAGTCCAGTGCGGGTTAATAAACAGAGAGGTAGAGCTGCTTCCACATCTTTTTGTGTTACGTGATTAAGCGAAGAGCTGGTTTCTCTGGTCCCGTTGGCTTTTCTTTGAGCCTGGCACCCAGTCCCCCAGAACTGCTGCCACTTTCTGAGGAATATTCAGAGCTTTCGCAGGGGCTCTGAATGCGCAGGAGAGCACGAGGATCACCCCGATGGCTCTGAAGCTAGGTAACTCATGAGAAGTGTAAAGCAATAGCAAAGGAGTTCTGCTTTGGCATGCTAGAGTAAGCAATGTATAACAAGTATCTGTGCAAAACTCACCCTGTCCTGTTCAGCATTTCCCTGGAAACCCCACGAACCCCCAGAACAACTCCCACGAGAACTCTGCAATTTCATCCAAGAGCAAAACCTATCTCGCTTGGTTGGCATTCAGGTAACACAGTGAATTGTTACCCTGCAGGCCACTATTCATCTCCTTAAGAGCAGATAAAAACCCGAGCTCCTTAAAAGACACGACTGAAGACATCCTTCCTAAAATAACACCCTGCTCTGCTTTTGCTACTGATGGGAAAACTTCCCTGAGTGTCAGTTTGCATGAGAAGGACTGAAGTCTACACCAAGAAGTCTGAGTTTTTTTGCCATCACTTAACTTCCATCATAAGCAGCTTAAATTATGTGAGCTGCAATAGGCAAAGGTTACCTACAGACTTCTTCTGCTGGAAAATGGAATAAATAGAAGGTAAGAGTCCCCTGTGCTCTGCTACTTTAACATGAAATTAATAAAGAACGATTTACAGCAAATCTGCCTGATCTCCTCACACCAACAAAAGAAAAGCCATTGTAACAGTTTGCCCCAAAACTTGTGAAATACTTCAAGAGCTACTTTCAGATTTTCATCTATTTTTTCTATTGTGATAGTCAATATTAACGGAAATGGTCAAATTTTGATTCCCCTGAGCAAAGCAGCAGCTCTGAGACAGCCGAATCTCTGCCCTTCCCTGGCCACAGCCCTGGGGAACGACAGGGGTGGCTGCATCGAGGTGGAGGATGCTGAGCTTTACCCAAATGTCCCGCATCGTTCTCCCCAGCCCCACAAGCAGCCCGAGGCAGCAGCAGGGGCTCAAGCCCACAGCCTGGGTAATGAAGCAGTCCTGTCTGTAGGACTGCGAGGAGGAGCCAGCGTATCCCTTGCTAACATTTCAACACCAATATGACCGTATTTCATGTCAACACAGAAGATGGAGAACCTAGACACGGATCTGGATCCCATTATCTCCAAGTGCTGTACAAAACAAGGAAAAATGAGGTATTCTACCTGAATAGTCTGTCAGCGTTCACAGAACAGTGGAGCATCCTCTTACCTTCACAAATTCTGTCCAGTCGCTGTCGCTTGACTTTGTGTTTATCCACAAGTGCCATTCTTGATGGTATTTTGCAACTTTCTGATTCAAAAAGCCAGGCAGTCCCCCAGGAACTCAGGAAAACTCACGGGAGTCGGCATGCATAACGCCACTGTCGGTCCTGTTGAGACGAGAGGAGCTGGTGAGTGGGACTTCCACCACGGGAGGTGACACCCGCCCACCCCAAAAAGCCCAGCACCCTTGCTGAATCCACGGCTGGGACTTTATCACTTCCAGCCTCAGCATCCCACCAGCTCTCACTCCGCAAACCAAGCACACAGCCCCTTCATCTTCCCTGCGATCAGAAAAAAAACAAACAACCAGCATCCTACAAGAGAACTGCCGAAGCGCTGTCTGGCCTCCCGAGTTTTATTTCTGCCTTAAAAATCTATTCCTAGCAGACAAAATCCATTAAGCTATTTTGTAGGCTCGCAGATACCGAAACATTATGAGTATATAAAAACGGGAAAGCAGCTTTTGCTCCTCCAGTGCTTTCACACGCACGCACACACACAAAACCACTTCCATGTCTTAGTTAAACCTTGCCCTGTGAAAGTCATCACTGGACTTGAATTTGCAGCAAGACCTCGATACACATCCCAGCTGCCACCAGAGCCTGTCCCTTGATACTTTCTAATGTGCACATCTTTTAAATGCTGATAAAGTAAAGCAATCGATATATATCCATATATATTTGTGAGAAATGCCCTGCAGGCTCTTCTGGGGGTTTGGTGACATGGAGGAAGAACCTGAGCAGGTTCCCTGGGGTCTGCTGAGTGCTCAGAGCCCCGTGCAGGCTGAGGACCCTGAAGGTGCCCCCATGGGACAGTAGGGAAGGACAATAGGCACAAGCAAGACGTCCTCTCCAAGGTGGCCATCTGCACCAAGCAGCAAAGTCTCGGCCCCTCTGCCTACAGTTAAGTAGAAGTCCTCAAAGAGGTGAAAAAAAATAATTCTGAAGAGCCAGGAGCCACCACATCACTCGCTCAAACCACTCCTATCATGCCCGAACCACAAAGGCATCCACAGCAGGTGAATTTTCACACTGCATTGCCCCCAAATTTTTCACTTCAACATAAGAAAAAGCCAGGTTGATGTAACACAACGAAGGAAACAGAAGAACAAGCCACCAGGAATGGGAAAAATCCAGGCTGATGTCCACAAGCTGACGCTGGGCGACGTTGGTGACCTCGGCTTCTGCTCCCCCTGGGGTCGGGCAGCACCGGCACCACACAGCTCATCCTCACCATACATCGGGGTCTTCATCTCACATAGTCCTGCCCGAGGATTTTACTCCTCCCCAGCAGCTTACAGCTCCTAAAAGCAGCTTCCCAGCAAGCTCCAGCCTCTCACTTAACAAATGCGAGGGGCCGGGCTGAGCACGCGAGGGGTAAAGGCTGTAACAAAGCCGCCGCGCACCAAGATGACAATTTCATGGAGATTATTGTTATTATTACAAATGGTTATCAATTATGCATCGCATTGATAGTTAATTTATAAAAGGGAGAGGGCTGTGTTGGTACAACTGAATTCTGACTCAGGGAAGATGGGCGATTTCCTGGTAGTTAATGGCCAATTTCCCAGCAGCACAACTGCAGCATAATCTCCGAGATTTATAGCAATAATTAATTGATTTTTTTTTAAACACAGGGATGCTAAAGAGCATGATTCCCACTCCCATTAATAATTAATGCAACATTTTAAAAGAAGCAGAAAACCTCCATTCCAGAGACAGAAGCTGGCTACAGCCAAAATATTTCTTGCAACAAAAATTATGCTGTTAGCGGAGCTAACCCAGGAGCAGCTAACAGCATTTCCATGGGCAGCGTTCAGCAGCAGACACACGACTTTTCAGCTCTATTAAATCCCAGCCCACATTCAGGGAGAAATACCGGGTTATGGAAAGTCACTTCAGGAGAAAAAAGTTAGCACTTTGTTCTGAAAACGCTCGCATGGTTCATGATGCTGTGACTGCAACTCCTTTTTCCCCCAACAGAATCAATATGCAAAGTGTATTTAATTTTGACAGAGTGCATTTTCTGATGGACAAATGCTTCCATTAAAGTCCTTTCCTCCTGCCATCTCAATTCACTCTATTACTCCCTGGAGGAAAACTTTCTACCAACGAAACTCATAACAATCACAGAAATTACCGCTCGTATTAGCAGCATCCTGCACGGCTTAACATAATGCCCACGAACCAATTCCTTCCTCCTGATTTTACCCGCTCCATCCTGGTGTGACAGGTGCCTTGGACGGTGCCAACCAGCAAGAAAAGCACAACTCCGAAGACTTAACTAGAAATGTGGCAGGAGCTCGTGAGCAGGACTTGGCAGGGAGGGATGACATGGAGAAAAGCAGCTGTGCAGGGCACAGAAACGAGCGGGTGCTCCCCAGCCTTGGTACGAAGCTGTAATTAAGAGAACGGCTCCTCCATTCGTGGCAGGGAGGACGCAATTAGCGGCACACCCAACTTCAATCTTCCCTCGGTGATTTCTCCATCCAGCCCAGCCTCGAAACAATCGCGAGGCTAAATGTCCCCCAAAATAAAGCAAACACAATCAGGCGAGGCAGAACAAAAATCGTGGCCAGCAATTAAAATACAAGAAAACCTCATTGTATAAGGGAATTTGAGAGAGAGAGGCGCACGCACAAAAACTGCACTTCATCTTCAGCAAGATTAGGAAACAAGTGAAGCGATTTACATACAGTAATTGCATGTCCGTGTTAGCCTCCAACAGTGTCTTTCAAAATGTAAATTTTTCCTGAAAACCCTTGGACATGATGATAGCCCGTCAGTTATTTATTTATTTAAAGACGGAATGTGCTGAAACGCGATGTTTTAGGCCAAAAAAAAAAAAAAATAACATCCCGGAGTAACAATTTAAATAGCTTCTTAACACCGCCTGTTCAACAGCACAGCCCGTGAGCCAGAAAGTGGGAGAAGAGAGAGCTGTGCAGGGCTTATTTTTCCGGATTTCAATGGAAAACGAGAAGAAAGAAGAGGTGATTTTCCAAAACGAAAGGCACTGTTGGACAAAAGCACCAGAAAGGTGACTTTACACGTTATGGGCTCTCTTCTAAGCTCATGGAGCGCTGTGTTGTCATCTTCCCACAGCACAAACACGAGCAACATCTATTTCTACGTGTCCACCACCGGCATCGCCATCCAACCATCCCGGCACCCAGCAGGTAACCAAAGCTCCCCCAGCCCCACCACCCTTCGTGATGAGCACCCCCCAAGCTCCCACTGCTCCCAGGCCCTTGCTGGAGTCAGGAACCTGTCGCTCACAATTTCCATCTGTGGTTTTTTGTGTTTTTTTTTTCTTGTTGACACACGGCACCAACAAGATGGGGATTCCCTGCCCCAGCACACACATGGCCCCGCGACCCGCCGAGTCCCGTCGTCCTTCCACGCATCCACGCGGGGTTTATGAAGCCTTACTTAAAACGAGGGGCATGGAAAATCCAGTCCAAATGCTCTGATGGCACCACAGCACGTTTCCTGTGCTCTCGGGGAAGAAGAGGTCCCCGGAGCCGCGGCTGGAAGCACACCAGGGTTGCCAACAGTCGGTACCAGTGAAGTTAGCATCTGCCGGTGCCACCGCTAGCTCTCCCCACCTCCCTCATGTTAAGGTCCAGTTTTCGGAAGCTCAACCCCATTTATTTGTGCTGTCGTGAGCCCCATAAGGCTGGCGAGCCATACGGGGTCGGATGTCCTCGTGTTGGATGTCAGCAGCCGGTGTGGGGAGGGCGGCGGGGGCTGAGCAGCCGAGTTCGGTGCAAGAAAGGAAGCGCGGAGCAAAGCGAGCAGGAGACACGCTGAGATAATGGCAGGGGAGGGAGGCGGACAAAGGAGACGGTACAATGCAGGAGGAACACTTTGAGTCATCCTTCCTTCCCTGCACAGCCTTCAGCGGGATGCTGCCCAGCTCAGCCCCGTCGTTGTCTCTCTCCAAAGCCCAGGGCTGCGGGGAGGAGGGAGCCGCACGGGAGGGCAGGGGCTGGCCACTCGCCCCGTGCCAAAATTCCCCCGTTGGGATGCTTTCCTTTAGCAAACAACAACAAAACAACATGTGCACAATAGCTCAGCGGGAACCAAAAAGGGATTGAAGATTTATATGGGCGAGGAGAACAAGCACAGATTTTCCTTAGGTGGGAGACGAAAAAATTTTTCATTTTTCATTCTTATTTTAATGCCCGAGGGATGTAAACCCCTCGCGCTTGGGAGGAGGGATCACACAGTTTCTGTGTGGCCAGGGTTCAGACTTCTCCCGCTCCATTAACCGCCCGCAGACACCGCGTGGGAAACAGGACACCAGGAAAAAGGGTTTTCCTGGCTCGTGGGAAAGCAGCCTCGGCCGGGAACTGCAAATCTCGGCCAGGCTCCCAGCAGCCCGCACCCCCCGGTGCACCCTCAACACCCTCAGAACAGCCACGGCAGGTCCCTCGCTACGAAATGACTGCTAATTAGCTTCAGCGCCTTTATTAGTTATTAGGATGCCTTTATTAGTTATTAGGATGATTTTGCTGCCGCGGAGCGTTCAGTGATGGTTTGCATTAAGGCCTCGCCGTGGGAATGACTGGATGGCTCCGTGGGTGGCAGTAAGAGCTTTCCGTCTAGGTGACTCGCTTTGTTTTTCTGCCCAAAAAACCTAAAAGATGAAGTCTTGTCCTCTGCTGCCTGCCTGGTGTCTTTCCCCAAAAACCTCTGGGTAAAAAACACGCTCGTGGGGATCCTACAGCCCGGCGCAGAGAGCGGTAATGCGGCAGGTTGGGCATGCTGCACGAAGACACTCCCACGTTAGCACCTGCTGACGGAAAAATAAAGAGCTCTTCTGCTCTTCACCATGCAGAGAAGGAGAATAACATGCTGTAGGAGTCTTGTGCTGAAGAACTGGTAACAATTTTGAGCAACTCGCTATTATATGAGTGAACAAAATGTACCATAACGGCATATGAGCCTGCACATCTGTTGCTAAATTAAACACGCTACATAACGATTTAGACCACATCTTAAAACATTATGCAACAAGATACAGACTGTGCTAAAATAATGAGGCTTCAAAGGCAACACGGAGGGGCTGATCCTGCATTCCTTTCAGCCCTGAAGTCACGGCG